TTCTGCAGTCCTTTTTTTAAAAAAAAAAAAAAAATAGAGAGGGTCACCAGAAAACCTGAGCTTGAAACTGCAGCAGAGCCCGAGGAGCCTGGGAGTGTGAGGAGGAGCCCGAGATAAAGGGAGATCCTGTGCTTCCTAGACAACTAGTCAGTCCTGCCCCTGCTGCCGCCTGCCACCCTGTGAGCTGGGTGCCTGGGTTCCATGATCTCTTGAGTGACAGATGCAAGGCTTAGTCATGCAGGGTCCCCCCAAAGAATGCGAGATGCACTTCCAGCAGGGAAGTGGTTCAGACAGCTGGGGTGGGAAGGAGTCCGTTAGGCACACAGAAGCTGAGGCAGTGTCAGGGATGGCCTTTTGGCCCTTCCTACCGCTACCCCTGAAGGACTCTGCAACTGAGCTCTTCCCACAAGCGTGGTCTTGAGAGGACTGACCCCAGGCCAGCCACTGTTCACTATTGCGGCGGTCCTTCCACCCCCTCCTCAAAGCCACATCCCACTTCCTGGACACTCCTGGGCTGACCTCCGTCCAAGGACCACCTCCTGCCATCATCACAAGTGACCCACTGGGGCTAAGGGAACCACCACCTTCCCCGCACCCCCCCCACACCAACTCTGTGCTTCCCATCCCCCTTACGGGCCAGGAGGAACCCCCTGGCCCACCCCTGGATGGATTCCAGTATCCCTATCAAGGCTCACACAAAGCTCCGAGACCTCCTCCGTCTAGCGTGAGAGACATGGCCCCATGCACTCAGGACATGCTCAGCAAGCCTGCCTGCTCGATGAATTGAAGAATATGTGCTAATAGCCATATCTGATACAGAATTTGGAGTCAGAAGCAAAAGCCCCAATTATGACATCATTTCTATGAGAAGTGACAGCTCCGTTCCCACAGTCGTCTTTTACACTGCATTTTCCAGGAATCCATTAGAGCTAATTGTTCTCCCAGAAGAAGGTAGCATTCCTAGACCACCCCCCACCGACCTCCCTTTCAGAGCATCACACCCAGGTCTGGTTCAACCCCAGAGGAAGGCGCTGGCCCCCCTCGTATATCGCTGGGCTTGGGACCCTGCTCTCCGTTTCTCAGTGGGAAGGTCAATTTAGACCGTGCCAAAACCTGGGGTTACTCACTCTCCAGAGTTTCTCCTGTATTGATCGTATCAACTCGAAAGACGGAATTTGCGAAACATAGTCTTCCTGGTGGCGGGCGAGTCTCGGGATGATGACAGGGACCTCTGACCACCACCCCCCCTTTCCCCACATCTGCTTCCTCCAGCCAGAGCCAGTGCCTCAGAGAACATGGGGCCTGGGAAAGCTGGTTTCCGTGTGGTACCCTGGAACTCTGCCCCCAGGCCACTCCCTTGCGTGAGACTGCAAGCCCACAGCCCCTGATGAGGGACTCGGGGCACATTTCCTGCCTTTCCGCGGCTCAGTCTCTCCATCGGTAAGATGGAGATAGGGAGGTCATCATTGTCACTGTGGCCGCTGGGGATGCTGCGGGTGCCCTGTGTCCCCCTTGTCAATGCCAGCCTCACTCACTCGCTGGCCAGTATCTCAGTTGATGAGGATATAAAACTGGCTTAGGCTTCTCCAGGAACTTGGCTTGTTCACTTTATCTTAAAGTGATGGGCAGTTTCCACCTGCAGTGACCCCAGGTGGGGGCAGTTACCCGTTGATGTCTGTGGGCTGGAGAGATGGCTCAGAGGTTAAGAGCACTGCTTGCTCTTCCAGAGGTCCTGAGTTCAATTCCCAGCAACCACATGGTGGCTCAC